GTATAGTGGTTAGTATACCCGCCTGTCACGCGGGTGACCCGGGTTCAATTCCCGGCCGGGAAGCTTTTCCGGAAAGGAACTTTAAAAACTGTAATATTGTATTTTCTTGTTTTTTTTTTTTTTTTTTTTTTTTTTTTTTTTTTTTTTTTTTGATTATTATTGAAACTTCTGCTCAAATTATTTTTAATAATCCACAATCTTTAAAAGTTATCAGTTTGGCATATTATACGAGACAGCGGACACAAAGAACACGACTCGAGAGCCATTTTCAAACTTTCACCTACCCACCATCCTGCGCATCGCCTTGGCTTGAAGCAAGCGAAACTGCGGGCAATCCCTAGTTTTGATCAGAAAAGGGAATCTTTTTCTTAGGAACGGCGTTTCCAATATATAGGACCCCTAAAACATCAATGCCACGGTTACCCAATCACAGTCAAAGTGTCTAGTGATTTTTTTTCCCCCCTTTTGGTACCTTGAAAAAAAATTTAACCCGCTTCCGTTTTGCAGAAGCCCGCCCTCGCCCTTTACATGGCTAAAAAAACCTTTGGCTACAAAACGTGGCTGTTGTCCTTTGAACACTTTGCGGTCATTTCGCGCCCCGGCCACCCCCACCAGGCCCACCACTAAGAGGCAGAGCAGTCTCATTATTTTTAAAATAGACCCATTGAAGATTTCAAAAAAAAAAGCCCCCTTTGCACACACCCAGTCACGTACACACCAAAAAAAAAAAAAAAATCATCAAAGCAAAACGAACCAAATGCAATCATTAAAAAACACCCCAGCTCTGCCACATGAACTTTAGCACTTCGCATTTGCCTCCATGAAGATGATAAACGTTTTTACATTATTCAACGCGTCGTTTCCATAACCCCGTGCGGCAAACAAAGGCGTAAAACTCTAATTTTATACTTAATTTTTTCTTCTATAAATCTTTTGAGCTTTCTGACGTTGGCGCATGATGGAGCCGGAAAATTTTACCATACGAAGTCTTTTTTCCCCTTGTCAACCACACTGCCCGTACCGTTTCACTGTTCCCTAAAAATAAAAATAAAAGCATGAAAAAAGAACTTTAGGTTTTCTTGCGTTTTGTTATACGGCATAGCTGCCGCCAACTGGCGCCCCATACCCCCAGGGGAATTTAGAGAGCAAACGATCCCCTTTTCCTTTGTACCATCAGCCAACGCATAACTCAGAAACATCGCGCACCATAGGGTGCAGCCGCGTCGAGCTGCGGCAAAAATATATCCAAGAAGGTCCTGGGACACGCGTGGACGTGCCATCAGCAGTATCACCCGCACCAGGTTGCTGCTGAGTGGTGGTGATGTAGGGGAAAACCCGGCCCTTCACTGCGTGGAATGCAGTGGTACTCAGCTGGACTTATCCAGGTCAAGAGGCTTGCTCTCCACAACAACCCTTCTTGAGGAGAACATGACATTCTGCCTTCTAAGAAAGAAGGAACTATCTTCTGCGGAAGTGTCGAGTTTTACAATTACTGGTTACCAACATCATGGAGTGTCCCACCCCTCTAAAGGAGGCGGTGTTTCGATTCTTGTGCGTGAGGATCTGCCAGTAGAAGTAGGACTCACCGTAGTTGCAAGCATTGAGCATGCTCATGCAACGATCCACATGTCAGAAGGTCTGGCGCTCACAGTGACGTCAACATATTCTTCCCTCTGGGGAGATCATACACAACTTCGCAACTAGACACGCTTTTGACGACAGGCGGACCCCACCCCATCAGTGCAGATGCTAATGCGCATGCAATGGCATGGGATCGCGCGATCCCCCCTGATACCCGTGGCGATGTGATAGTACAATGGTGCCTAGATAATGATTGCGTTATATTTACAACACTGGACATTGCACTCGCCACACCACACGCCATGGCCTTTCCGCGCCAGATGTGACAATATCCCGAGAATGCCTTCTAGAGTCATGGACGGCATCCTTCTCCCCGGACAGCGACCATTACATCACCCTCTTCGACGTAGTGGTAGGAGATGATAATGATGAACCACTGCTGTTCCCTCGCCCTCGTGCCCCGATCCATTTATGCATGGAAGAAGGCGAAATGGTCTCGCTTTAGAGAAATGCCAAACGCACAGTGCAACAAACTTCTTAAAGAGAAAACGGGCGTTCACAAGAGAGAACGACTACTGACCTCCGCCATCCGTATCGCAACAGCCGCGGCGGTTCCCCGCGGGGGTCGAGATACTACTCCTTATTGGACTCCAGAATTGGATAAAATCGAAAAGAAGATTCACAGTTGTAAACCCTCTGTCTCCCGAGACAGACTGGTAGCTCACAGAAGAGAGATGCCAAGACAAGCATCCCATAAGAGATGGGAAACCCTCTGCAAGAACATTGCCGTGGCAGGCTGCTGATGTTGGAACATTTTGAAGGGGATCTACGACCCACGCCCCCTCAGGAACCCGGCGATAAAGATTAATAATACGGCACTCACGGAAATTCAGAAAGCTAAGCACTTTCTCTGCTTACATTCCAGAAGGGCTAAACGGCACCCACATTCCTACCCTCCACCGCCCATTCCAGTAACAGATAAAGAATTCATACCCATTACAGCAGCAGAACTGGAACGGGCAGAGCGTCTCCTTCCTAAAGGGACGGCCGCAGGTCCCGACGGTATCTACGGCGAGGCACTCCAACACTTGGGACCCCGTGCCAAAGCAGAGACTCTTGCCCTCTTCAACGAGAGCCTCCGTACAGGCGTTGTTCCAGTCTCTTGGAAAGTAGACATCATTGTACCACTCCTTAAATCAGGAAAGAAAGCCACAGATCTAGATTCGTTCAGACCCGTTACCCTCACTAGCCCTCTGTCCAAATTAATGGAGCGGATCATTGCAGCGTGCATTAGAGATGTCATTGAAACCAAGCTGACCCCTCAACAATCTGGATTTAGACCTGATCACCCTACATTGGATCAACTATTGCACCCACGCGCAGCCCTCACAAGACCCACCCTGATTCACGTACAGGTGCAGCATTGGTAGACTACGCTAAACGAATACTTAAGGGAGAGGATACACCCCATCTCTCCCATAGATTAAAAATCACTGGATCCTGGGACCCCACCAAAGACAACCCGGAACTCACTAGAGAAGAAGAAACAGCCCTAGCACATTTTCACACAGGCGCTTCACATCGCTATGGCTGGTTTCTGCGAAAAATACAGACCCATATCCCCCTGGTTGCCGATGGTGTAATCCCCCAAAAGTCAAGATGCCAGCACCCGTTATTCCACCTAGCCAAAAACAACCGCACCACACCCAAAGCAAAACAACAGGCCCCGCCAACTGCACTGAATGCGGGGCGCAATGCTCATGCAGGAGCGCTGCAGTAGAACATATGGTCGGCAAACGCTTGGGTTCAAGAGAACCGATGCGCTCTGGGAGATCAAATTCCCCCATGAGCCACCTCCGCCGGACATCCCGCCAGAACCCCCGCCACCTTCACAACCCCCACCCCCGGCCACAACGTTGCCCCGCCCCACTTCACCTAAAGCGAAACCCCACCCGTTCGAGCGCAGTATGTGTAACCGAACATTTCCGTTACAAAATGGATTGGCCTGCCGCCCTGAATACCTGCGCAATGCCAAATGCCCCGTCCAAGGGAAAGAACGCCCCCAAGCCGACGAACCGACACCAGAAGGATAACCATTTTCCTGTGGCAAATGTTGCGCGGCAGTGCGCTCTAAAACAGACCCCAAAGCCCACATTAGGGCACGCCATCCTTGGAACCCCACACGAGAAGCACCCGACACCCAATTAATCCGCACCGTGCGTCACTTCGCTGCGAATTTTGTCTCGGAGACTTCGGCAACATAGGCGCCTTTGCGCGCCAGAGAAAATATAAACACCCACCTGAAACTCCAATTCCGCCGTCATTCATGCAGGCAACGTTCCCGCACAATAAGACACGTTTACGAGATTCGTCGCCATCACCGGAGTCTGGGAGAACTGTGACGGATTTCAATGTGGAATATGCCAGAAGTTCTATGCCCACTTAGACTCCCTTTGCCCCCGCTGCAGAGAATGCCATGATGGACAGGGAATTGCAAAAAAAAAAACGAACTCCAAAAATGAAGGAGCAAATGATCGAAAACAAGAGACCTGTTGACTCTAGCGTGTCCTACGCGCGTCTTTTAATATATGGCAATCCTTCGTCGCCTTGCAGAATGTGGTTTAACACATGTATCAGCCCACACGCGCGCACCAGCCACGGATAAGCTACGAAGAAACATCTATGCGCCCATTCGGCTGCACCGTTGTTTTGTCCAGTGCTTCACTAGTTTGCGATGTTTGTTAAATTCCCTAAGGACCTATGTTTGTTGAAACGCTTAGTCTGTCTTTTATTGCTGCGAAGCGGCAGTTGACATTACCGGAACCGTCCGGTTCGTGAATCTTTTGTTACCGTTCTCTTCCCATGTCGCACCATATCCCTTTACGACTTCTTCCAGGCTAGATCGCGTAGTATCTGACGTATGCGGAGAAAAAATTCTTTATCAGAGTTTTCAATAACCAAGAAAAATTAATAGGTCTTCATGAAGTGCAAAAACTGCAGAGAAGGAGAGCTGCCAAGGTATTATGGTCATGAAATCTGGGGCAATTATTTTTCGTTGGCTTTAATTTCCCGCATGGAAACGGTTATAAAAATAAAACATAAAATAAAACTCCTAAAAGAAAAAAACAGTAGTACAAGAAAATGAAGACACCATAAAAGAGATAAATCAGGTAATCCGTTTGCAGTTGCTCGATTAGGAAAAAATCAGAAAAGAGGCGAATAATGATAATAACAATAATAGTAAAAAGGCAAAGTGGACAAGCGCCGCCACGACACCCCAAGCAGCCACACTCGCACGCGCACCGGCAGCACGAACCATTAACCAAAGGGCCTGCGGACCTCTAGAAATTTTAAATAAATTCAAAAAGCTGATAATGTCTGTGCGTTTTGCCGGGGGTGTTTCTGGAATTAATCTCTGTGGCCGGGCTGCGTTCGCTTGGGGCGTCGCCCTCACCAAAGGCCGCCCCCCGGCCAAAAGGTGTCTTTGTTTCAATTTGCAGCTTTTTTGGAGTACAAACAGCGCAGATGACGCCAGCATGGCAACAAAGAAGAGGAAAATGGAGCGTGGCCCCCTCTTCTGAAAGTTTCGTTTTGTGAGGCGTGTTACCCGCGCCTGCGGCCAGCAAACGCCTTTTAGCACACTCTTCCGAAGAACATCAACGAGTTAAATGTAATTAGATTTAACTCTAGCTTGGAGTTGGTGGGCTCTGCTGCCGGTTTAAGGTTCCCACTCTCTCAAGGAAAAGCGAATCCACTCACCCGTACTTTATTTGTAACTTTTGGCAATATTAATCTATTAATGCGGGAACGATTCGGCACCCAAAAAGATGAAGGTTTACAAAAAAGGAGATAAAAAAAAAAGTTTTAACAAGTCAACTGCTCAATTTGAAAATGACATTGAAATGGAATGCAGCAAAACAACCGTCACGGGCAAAAAACGGCACCACCACCAAGTGCACCTAACCCAATTATCAAACAACCAACGGTTCGTACATGCGTTTATCCTCTTTGTCGTTCTGGAAAATGGCAACGGTTAGCAAAAATTGCGAGCCCAAACGGAAGAAAAAACACATGCCAAACACAACTGCCAGAAACAACGTTCCAAAGTAGTAAAGAAAAAAACCTCATAAAGACTGGAGTTTAGGAAAGAAAAGTCTCAGCTTTATTCTTTGTTTGGCAAAATCCAAATAAAAGTATTTCCACATTTATCTTTTAAAGGTTTTTGTAAAGTGTAAGGTTTGCAATTCCACCCAGAAGCCCAACAAAGCAAAACCGAAGCCAGAAGCACAACGCGTTCAAGGATAGACTTTATCACCCAGCCTCTGCCATAAGCAAATGAGGATGGATAACGGGAGTCCGCATTTGACTCAATACTGCGTTTGAATTAAGGACAAGTGATAATAAAGGCCATGTGGGGGAAGTCGGTCCCCCGGGAAGATAAAAAGAAAAATAAATCCACAACCCATCCCGCGAAACCATCGCAGCGATGCAAACGCCCTATCCCTTTCTGCATTGTCATTGGCGGAGCCTGTGAAATTTTTTTCTGTACGTGGATTGCCTTTCCTGGGCTTTGATAGTTTGAGTCGTCTTGAAATTACCCTTGTGGATGGACAGAGTCTCTTCTTGTGAGTGTTTCCTTCCTAAACTGTGTTTAAATTTCTACCCCAATTACTTGATAAAGGAACTCGTGAAAAAATAAAGAGAAACATATTTCCAACCTTGCCAGAGCAACCGCAAACGGAATAAAACAAATTTAATTTTTGAATTTTATCAAATAACGGAATATAATTTTGCGTATAAATGCACCCAAAGGCGTCACATCGCGAGGAAAAGCGCCCTCAACCTCTACCGAAAACCGCGCCAAAGAAGACAAAAAGAATAATTAGCCAGGGTTATTTAACGGAAGGTTCTCAATTAAAATAGAAAGATAATCCGCCTCTAGGAAGACGATTTTTATTGTGTTCTTTTTCTTTCCAAGCAGCGGCGGGGTAGAAAACACACCCAGATGTCTTTTAAAAGCAGAATTCCACATATTCATTCGTTTGTCGCAAAACAAAGGTTCACGATAGCTGAAACCCAAGGTTAATTTCAATGATAGGATTGATGCGTCCATCCCTTGCGGTGAAATACACGGCATGCGAATTGCCTCCGCTTAAATAAAGAAAAGAAGTGACAATAATTATATCTGAAATTTTTTTTATTAATAGCTTGAGAAAAGAATGACCAGAACTTACGTAAAACTATATATAATAATGGATGTAATGGGAAAACATATTTGTTTTTCTTTATATGCAATCTAGAAACGAAAACGATTTGAAGGCTTACCCAATCCGCTCCCAAAGCCTCGAGACGGGGAAGGACGGTTAAAGGACACCCCAGTGCCTCAGTTCCGTTAACCTTGTTTATCTGTTTAGAAAAAAACTCATTATATTAAATAGCATTACAAATTGCAAGATAAAGAAACAGCGGCGATTCTTATGACAGCGAAAAAAGAAACCAAACCGCACACTATTCAAGGCAAACTGACCAGAATGTTGGTGAAGCGTGCTGCAAAAGGGATGGAGTGGAGGGACGCCTTGTCGGTTTTACTGAAGTCAAGTCCCCTTCGCACAAGAGAGGCCAGCGAGGGGAGCGCCGGCAGACGCCGATGCCGTGGGTTTTCGGACCCCTTTTTGCCAGAGGAAGAGCCGAAGACAGAAACACGGCCCAAAGTAGCGAAATAGATAGGGAAAAAAAAAGGTGCTTCGTGACTGTCCCGCGGTTCGGCTTCTGTGCGAGGGACGGCGCCTGACATGACATTAGGGCGCCCCTGTGGTGCCGCCCCGCTGGGACCAGAGTTTCGGAGTTTCTAACATGCGTTTTTGGTGACTGAAGAACGCTGGAAACCAACTTGATCGGAGCACCAGTAACGACATCACAGAAACGCAGATGGCATTCAAGAACGCAAAGTAGAAAATGGAATAAATATAAATAATCTTTTGGGGTTCCAGATGACTCTTTTCCACTATTTTTTTTTTGTGGCTGGTGCTTTCTGGGGGATACAAAAGAAGACGGCCACCTTAACTTTTGTTTCCGTTAGCCCGTTTCGCTTCTCTTCTAGATTGATTTCCACTTCTTCAAGTTTAACAGCAACGCATTGCCGCGCTTGATTCGATAGGAAAAACTGCTCTCCATATCTACCCAACCTCTGGTGCATTACGCGCTGCTCGTCGTTACCGAAATTTATTCACAGCACTTGGAAAAAGAGATTGAGGAAAACCTTTCAAACCACAGACTGTAGAAACTCAAGCTCGGGGCGTTCCATCGAACAGTTTTCCTTGTAGGTATCCCGTTTCACCCTCTTTTTTTTCTTTTAATGCTCTTGCCCTTATGGATGTCAGCAGAAAGGTGCGGCTGACAACCTGCCGCAATAGAATAACGTAATTATTGTGTATGATGGACGGTTTTATAGCAGAACATCCCTTTCTTTGGTGCAGTCTTCAAGCTCTTATAAAATGATTTTTTATTATTTAGTTTCTCTTAATTTAAAATTTTCTTCTATGTTTGCGTTAAAACCGTTCCCAAACAAGAGAAACAGCCTACGAGAAAGCTTTACTTACACCTTCGTTGCCCATAACCCGCCATCAGGTTTTCTTTTTTGTATCAAATTGATCTCAATGAACTCTAATGGATTTTGTTCTTTGTTTGGTCGGCGACTGATGTCTTTTTAGTACGATTCATCAGGGCTTCCATAATCGAGGGTGTCACCAGTTCCAATTTGCGGGGAAGGAGGAAAGAGACGTGGGGTTTGTTGGTTGTGAAGACTATGGCAAAAGCGTAGTTCCGCTCCACCGCAATAAGGAACTGAGTGGGCTGCTTAGAAAAGCATAGTTTCATCAGGGGTACCTCCAATATCGCGAATTGAACCCGCAGATGATGAAGAGCGGGGCAACTCAAGAGATGCAGAGCTGTTTCTTCGCATTCGTCGCGTTGGCTGGTGTGCGCTTGAGTAGGTTGATACCCGTGTCGTGAGATTCGGTGTAGAGTTAGACCTGACTTACTCATACATTGGTGGCCACACGTGGGACAGACTAATGCCGGAAGGTCTCTTGTTTTCGTTGTTTTGTATTGCCCATTGATGGAATTCGTTTTTTGGGGCATACCCTCTCCTTCATGGAATTTTCTGCAGTGTATTACGAGGGAGTCTAGGTGGGCATAGAACTTCTGGCATACTCCGCATTGGACTTTTTCTCTGTTCTCACGCTCCGGTGGCGACGAATCTCGCTGGCGTTTCTTATTGCGTGGAAACGTTACTTGTATTGTTGCTGGCAGAATTGGAGTTTCAGGTGGGTGTTTATATTTTCTCTGGCGCGCAAAGGCGCCTATGTTGCCGAAGTCTCCGAGACAAAATTCGCAGCGAAGTGACGCACGGTACGGATTAATTGGGTGTCGGGTGCTTCTCGTGTGGGGTTCAAAGGATGGCGTGCCCTAATGTGGGCTTTGGGGTCTGTTTTAGAGCGCACTGCCGCGCAACATTTGCCACAGGAAAATGGTTATCCTTCTGGTGTCGGTTCGTCGGCTTGGGGGCGTTCTTTCCCTTGGACGGGGCATTTGGCATTGCGCAGGTATTCAGGGCGGCAGGCCAATCCATTTTGTAACGGAAATGTTCGGTTACACATACTGCGCTCGAACGGGTGGGGTTTCGCTTTAGGTGAAGTGGGGCGGGGCAACGTTGTGGCCGGGGGTGGGGGTTGTGAAGGTGGCGGGGGTTCTGGCGGGATGTCCGGCGGAGGTGGCTCATGGGGGAATTTGATCTCCCAGAGCGCATCGGTTCTCTTGAACCCAAGCGTTTGCCGACCATATGTTCTACTGCAGCGCTCCTGCATGAGCATTGCGCCCCGCATTCAGTGCAGTTGGCGGGGCCTGTTGTTTTGCTTTGGGCGTGGTGCGGTTGTTTTTGGCTAGGTGGAATAACGGGTGCTGGCATCTTGACTTTTGGGGGATTACACCATCGGCAACCAGGGGGATATGGGTCTGTATTTTTCGCAGAAACCAGCCATAGCGATGTGAAGCGCCTGTGTGAAAATGTGCTAGGGCTGTTTCTTCTTCTCTAGTGAGTTCCGGGTTGTCTTTGGTGGGGTCCCAGGATCCAGTGATTTTTAATCTATGGGAGAGATGGGGTGTATCCTCTCCCTTAAGTATTCGTTTAGCGTAGTCTACCAATGCTGCACCTGTACGTGAATCAGGGTGGGTCTTGTGAGGGCTGCGCGTGGGTGCAATAGTTGATCCAATGTAGGGTGATCAGGTCTAAATCCAGATTGTTGAGGGGTCAGCTTGGTTTCAATGACATCTCTAATGCACGCTGAAATGATCCGCTCCATTAATTTGGACAGAGGGCTAGTGAGGGTAACGGGTCTGAACGAATCTAGATCTGTGGCTTTCTTTCCTGATTTAAGGAGTGGTACAATGATGTCTACTTTCCAAGAGACTGGAACAACGCCTGTACGGAGGCTCTCGTTGAAGAGGGCAAGAGTCTCTGCTTTGGCACGGGGTCCCAAGTGTTGGAGTGCCTCGCCGTAGATACCGTCGGGACCTGCGGCCGTCCCTTTAGGAAGGAGACGCTCTGCCCGTTCCAGTTCTGCTGCTGTAATGGGTATGAATTCTGTATCTGTTACTGGAATGGGCGGTGGAGGGTAGGAATGTGGGTGCCGTTTAGCCCTTCTGGAATGTAAGCAGAGAAAGTGCTTAGCTTTCTGAATTTCCGTGAGTGCCGTATTATTAATCTTTATCGCCGGGTTCCTGAGGGGGCGTGGGTCGTAGATCCCCTTCAAAATGTTCCAACATCAGCAGCCTGCCACGGCAATGTTCTTGCAGAGGGTTTCCCATCTCTTATGGGATGCTTGTCTTGGCATCTCTCTTCTGTGAGCTACCAGTCTGTCTCGGGAGACAGAGGGTTTACAACTGTGAATCTTCTTTTCGATTTTATCCAATTCTGGAGTCCAATAAGGAGTAGTATCTCGACCCCCGCGGGGAACCGCCGCGGCTGTTGCGATACGGATGGCGGAGGTCAGTAGTCGTTCTCTCTTGTGAACGCCCGTTTTCTCTTTAAGAAGTTTGTTGCACTGTGCGTTTGGCATTTCTCTAAAGCGAGACCATTTCGCCTTCTTCCATGCATAAATGGATCGGGGCACGAGGGCGAGGGAACAGCAGTGGTTCATCATTATCATCTCCTACCACTACGTCGAAGAGGGTGATGTAATGGTCGCTGTCCGGGGAGAAGGATGCCGTCCATGACTCTAGAAGGCATTCTCGGGATCCTTGGTAAGGATGTGCTACCTTATCGCGGTACCAAGGTTGAATACCTGAATTTATTCAAGGAAACTAAATACACCCACTAAATTTTTGCAGGAGGTAGACTCCTAAAAAAAACAAATTCTTTTTTTTTCTTTCAATACATGCGTTCTTAGGAATGGCATTGCCGTGGCGGCGTTTGGCCATCGAAAGTTGGAGCCAATGTCCATTATCCCCTATTATTTTGAGGGAAGCCATGGACCAGCAAATTCTCTTCTTGAGAGTTTACTGCTTCATAAGCTACAAACGTCATACAGCACCGGGAACAGCAGAATCATGCTGGGACAAAACTTTATCCAAGAAGATCCTGTGATGCGAATCAGCGTACCATCAGCAGCAGTTTCTTTTACATATTGCACTTCAATGTTAATGCTGCTAAAAAAAAGGGGAGGCAGGGACCCTCAAGATAGTAACAATTATGCCCTCCAGTGGCGGAAATTAGATTTAGCTGTTGGGACGACTCAGAGATGCGAGAAGAATCCATGTTCTGCCACCCGTAGGACTCATTTTAGTCTCATTGCCAATGCGTAATTCCTATGCGCAACGGTAATAAAATACAATGAAAAACAAAAATAAATAAATAAATAACAAAATAATAAAATAAATAATAAATAATACAACAAAAAGTATTATATAAATATATATATGTATTGCTGTTGATGGCTCGCGTTATTGAGGTGAGGCCCATAAGGAGAGGAACATAAAACAAAAAAAAAAAACCGTGGTGGGGTGGACTCCTTTCTGGGAAATAATGGAAGGGGATATGTTAGATCATACCTTCCTAATACACATCACGGGAGATGAGGCGTATGTGCGTGTGGTGTGTGGTACCACCATTGTACCGTCAGCGTTAATTGGATTTGCTGATGCCGTGGTCTTTGATGTGTGGAGAGTGGGTTTTTGCCTTCTCAGTTCCCCGTTGTTTGCTCCTAAAGAAGGGATGTTCACAGCCGCCATGGTGGTGTATTGCGTTGGATTCGAACCTAATCTGTGGTTTATTTGAACATGAGGCACCGTTGCGTGCGAGATCGGGGATGGCGCACCGTCCCGCAGAACCTCAACGGCTGCCATTGTGTGCCATTTTCGTTTATTTTCTGGGGATTGTGATGTGCGGAGGGTTTCCACTTCTGTGGTTGTGGAGTCCACTGTTGCCTGTTGCGCTGCAGTGAATGGGTGACTGTGTCCAGGGGGAGTGCATATCGTAATGTGAGTGCTGGGGTTGTGTGGCGGCGGTGTGCGTTGTGTCGCCAGTGAGAGTTGATGGGTTTGCCGAGTTTTGTTTTCCTCAACATTCCTTGTGTCTGTGGTGGTTAACGTAACGTTGTGTTGCGCCCGGCGCTTTTGTTTTAATTCTTTGAATACATCTCTTGTCTTCTCTTTTTCTTTCTTTTCTGTTTTGTGTTTTGAGACAGCTATACAAAGGTAAAAAACACGTTTTTGAGTAAACATTCAAAGAAGATCCACATGCGTCGTCAGCTGTTCGCTGCGTTGCTCTTGCTGTGTTGCGCCTACGGGTGCATTGCAGCAACTCGATACGAATCGCCGTATCCGCCCGATCCGGACGCAAAGTCATTACCCGAAACAGGTGATACCCGTGTTTGGGGTGTGAAGGTTGCCAAAGTTGACCCGGAAGAAGTTGCCCAAGATGGTTGGCAGAACATCCGTATTGCTGTGAACCCAGCAATGATTCAGAAAGCGCTGATGTACTGTGAGAACAAGGGGAATCAGAGCAAGGGACCCTCTAAGGTGTACAGTGGGTTCGACGAAGAAGTGTGTGAGGCGGTAAAAGGAAAAGATGAAAATATCCGCACTGTGGTGACAAAGGTGATTCCTGAGGCCATCGCATTGCATGTTGAACGTCTTAGGGTCAAGCGTGCGCAGGGTCCCTTGAAGATTAATGTGCCATTCGATCTACGCCCTGTATCCGATACTGAGGGTACAATGTGCGCTGAAATGGTTCCCGCTTTTGACGGCGATAAGGGAATGGGTATTCCCAATGCGGATTTCGTGATCTATTTGGGTCTTTCTACCAGAAAGCCGAGTGCGAAGATTTGCACCTACGACAAGGATGGGCGCCCAACATCTGCCATGATCAAATTGAATCCACGTAAGATCAACAACACAGACCAATATGTTCGTGTTGTTGCACACGAGGTTGCGCACGGACTCGGATTCACCATGGACCTGGACAAATTCAAGAACATGGTGCGCAGTGGAAGGAACAGCAGCTACAAAGGGCATAATGAGCTCATGAGTTCGAAAATAATGGAGGAAGTGCGGTTCCAATATCAATGTTTTGACGTTATTGGAATGAAATTGGATAATTCCACATCGGGGAAAGGAAACAATGGTAACGCTCACTTTGATGGGTATCTTGCGCAACACGAGTTGATGGCCCCACTCAGCGAAAGTAAAAGCGGTAAAAGGGCGTACACTGCGTTAACCCTTGCTGCACTTGAGTCTACAGGGTACTACCGGGCAAATTACCGCAAGGCTGAAAATGTGACGTTGGGGGTCAACAAGACGGGTTGTCACAACCTCGGACGTCGGTAGACTGGGGGTGACGACATCTCCAGGTGGGGCAACGTGTTCTGTGGTCTTAATTGCAGAGCAACCGTTTCGGTACATACCGGTTGGTTTTGTGCTCCCTCCGCATCCTCCGGGTTCTGCTTTGTTGCGGTTCACTGTGTCCGCCTGGTGGTGTGTGTGTGCTC